CATTGTTGTCACCATCAGCACCACTTAAGCGCAATTCAATAGGATTTGAACGTGATTTTTCATGGCGTGGAACTAAAGGAAAATCTAGCGAAGGTGATGGCTGCGATTGTTGGCTGCTGTAATGTTGCTGCACATGTTGTTCGTTGTTATTAAGATTGCTACTTTGAGGTACGCCCTTAACAATGCCCACATTTTCCCATGGTTTTACTAAAATAGCGGATGAAGCACTGCGACAAGAAAACAATACTTTTAAAAATTGACAAAATCGGGATTTTATATATCGAGTATTTCGTTTACCTAAAAGCTTTTTTCAATTCCTTGGCACGCTCGTGAGCTGTATTCAAACTTAATTCCATAGTTTGATTTAGAGTTTGTGCATCTGCATTGTCAGACCTATCGTCGTCATTATTAGCTAAAGGCTTGTTATTTGTGATCACAGCTGTGTTTTCATGATTATTATTAAGATTGTTGTAATTGTTATTGTTATTATGGTTGTCATTGCTATTATTATTTTGTTGCTGTTGTTGTTGCTGTTGTCTACTTTCAGAACGCTGCAATATAAATTGGACATCGTTAGCATACTCTCCCCACTTCAAAAGCAACTTCAGGGGATTTTCGTTCGGCGCTAGTAACCGTTCGTTATTTCGCCAACGTTCGATTAATGTGAAACGACCGACTTTCCCCGTTGCGTGCGCTAACGCAAATACAACATCCTTTAGAAGCAAAATAACAGTAAAAAATTAAACTTATTTTACAATTATAGTCTGTCTACGCATCCCATACCTGACACGTTGTGCTGACCGTGACGCCACAAATAATGCGTTGAATACCTTCCACCCAAACTTTTAATTCCATTATGTGCAACAATCTAAATCGGGGAAATCTTTCTGGGAACTTATTCTGAAGGCGTTCTAATGATTAACTAATTAAATGAGAAATACCGAATCCCTGTGAATGGAACTTTCCATAAAAGATCACTCAAGCTTCTCATGTGCAACCTATTGTATTTCTAACTCCATGGCACCAATTTCGAATTCTTATCAGGGAGTTGTATCTGCTTTTCCCAAGGCTGCTAAAGTATTAACTTTTTCATTAATATTCTTCTTTAAAGGCAATTTCACCTTTTGCGACTTGATGTTGGGTTTAGAGGTTACTGATTTTAAATTTTAAGAATAATTTATCTAAATCACCGACTTATAAGATCTGAAATCTCTTCCAGTTGCCGTTAATTTTTTAACATTATTGCTTCTTAAAATGTTATTTAGGTTATACATTTGCTTTCTTTTCTTGTTTTTCCTTTTTTCAATTACAGTTCAAATTTTTTGATTTCTGAATATATCCACTTCTTTTTTCACTTATTAATTAATATACACAATTTCTTACAAGATATTGCTCCATTTTTTTTAGAAAATCTGAGTGTTTTTTCTTTATTTATTGTCCTTCTCCTGTATACTAACTTTTATCATGGTTAGTGTTCTTTCTTGAAAAAAAGAAACAAATACAGCATTGCTTCTTCTTCTTTTTAATTGATGTTATTATTCGAACGATCGATAACATATCCTGATGATAAGCTTTGGAGTCTTTCTCTGAACTGTTGTAAATTATGGTACAACTGGCCGAAATGAAATTTGAGTATGTTTAATACCTGTGCAGTACTGAAGCTTTGTTTACTCTGGACATTTCTTTCCTGTTGATGCCTTTTCAGAATACATCAGCTTCGAATAGATGTAAGAAATATGCAGTAATCCTGTGGGCAAAAATATTTAGTGCTCTCTCTTGAAGAGCTACATATTTTTTATATGAGAGGAAGAAAGTAGGAAGGATAAGAAGGAAGAAATTATGGAGTCTCCCTCTCTCTTACTTTCTTCGTTGTATTCTTACGCAAATTTTTTTCTATAAATTTATCTGTAAAGGAGTCTTATTCCAGCCAAAGTTTACTACTTTAACAATACATAAGTCTTCACAATTGTAAAAGCTCCAAATACGTTCACGTATTAGCCTAAGCCGAATTTTTTTGATGTTAAAACAAATTTATGTACCACAAACAATTACCTAAATTGATTATTTCTAATCTGGACGTGCATGTCATACTTCCTATCGGCTTAGTCCATTTCAACTCCACATCCAAAAAAGGAAAAAAGACTAAAGTAGAATATCATTTCTATATATCATGTGATAAGTTGATACTACACATTAGAGCCCTGCATAATAAAATCAACCCTGCTGAAGCTAACTTCATGAAAATTGTAAATTTTTACAGTTTTACAGTTTTACGAGAATATCTGATAAAGGCGAAACGAATTTAGTTAACAGACGGAAATTCGGGGATTAATAGAATAGTGGAATTGCAATAAAGGAAAAAAAGATGAAATGCAATTTACTCTTTTAAAAATTATAATAAGTGTGTTCTTACAACTAAAAAGTAAATTCACAGCGATATACGCAAGGAAGAAAACTACCTTTGTGCCTTTTTCGTGTAATGGAATTAATCAGGGGAAGATAAATTTCTAAAGATAAGTGCAAGATTTTTTGTAAGTTTGTAAAAAGAAAGAAGACTACAAAAATAAATAAATTTCTTGTAGCAAAAGTGAAAAAAGAATACCTCGTGCTTGTGTTGGTTAAACGTATTAAATGCGCTAAAGCGCTTTCTCAATAAAACATCTTTCATTGAGGAAGGTGTAAGATTATTGCAGCGTGCTTGATATAGCATCCGAAAGCTATACGAGATACATACAGAGAAGCCTCGACCATGTCCAGCCGTAGTCGAGCGATTCTCAATGTTAACCTGGATGCGGTCATGGCCAATGATCCATTGCGTGAACTGTTTGAAGCTTGTAAGACGGGTGATATAGGTAAAGTGAAAAAACTTATCACACCACAGACTGTTAATGCTCGTGATACAGCAGGGCGTAAATCTACACCACTCCATTTTGCAGCAGGTAATATAATCAACGCTTGTGCTACTCAACATATATTCTGATATACTTTCTCCCCCCACTGTAATACTGCGCCTACTTTATTTGCTTGTCTATTATGTTCTAATGGCCTTGGGTTTATTTCCTATAAATGAAAATGAAAAGATAGTTAATTAAGACATTTTCCTCTTCCAGCGAAGCTAAACGAATACCGAAAGCAGCTAGAAAAGGGGGAAATGACTGAAGGTAGAAAAGTTTAAAGAGTTGGCACGTCATTCAGGGCCCATGCCCTCATCGTACTTGCCGCTTTTTCTTGATGACGATGATGATCCACAATCTATGATTTACTAACTCTATTCAACGCTAACACGATTGTTGTTATTGCCATTGCTGCTTCTTTCTTTTCATGACCTAGTTACAGTTTTGTTTTTATTTTTCTGATGTTCTTTCTTTTCTCTTCCGGATCTGTTATGAATGTCTTTTGCTGTGTCCTTTAATCAACAATTTGTTGCTAATACGTCAGCAATTATGTGTGTGAATATAGCGAAGACAGCTCCTAAAGACGTTCTAATACTTTGAGGAATGGATTTCTTTCGTCTTTTTTGTTTTTATTTAGCGAGGATGCAGGCTCTCTTGAAAATGATTTATATAATACTAACAAAGTTTCTTATTATCATTGTTATTAAACTCGTTTCGTTGTTTCGTTGTTTTTACAGCTTTTGTTTCTATTTCCTAAAATTTGACTTTGACCTACTTTCATATTACTCTTGCTTCTGTATGCGTGAAGTAAGTTTGTATACCATCATATTTTGCATTTCAGATGGATGCAACCAGGTAAAAAATAGCAGCAACAATTGACAATACAAAATGTAAACAAAATGCCTATCAATTATGTTGGTAATCTACAATTCTGTCCTTATATCCAGTTACTTACGTGTGGCCTTAGTGGCGTACCCAATTCAACTAATATTTTAAATAAGTTTACTTAATAATGACTAATTTTGTAACTGAGATTGATTTTTGAAAGCTGAATTATGTAAGCTCATATAAAAGCAATCTCCAGAATGGTTCGACGGTTTTCTTGCTGCAATCCTTGCCAAATTTAAAATAGGGAGGTATTTAACTATCGAATATAGGCGACAAAATTAGCATTCTTCAAGTGGTGTTGTCATCAAAGGTGTCGCTATAATTTCTATGGCTTCCCATATACATTTGCCACTGGCGTGTGTAATGGATCGAGAAAGTGAGATATAATATAGTAATAAAGTAAACCTATTCTTGATAATTGCTAATATCCAAGTGTTCATTACAACATCATAAATTGAATTTTTTTTCAATTTTTTCTACATATGAATGGTTATATCTTCCGCTGGTTAAACCTTCCGTAACGCTTAGTTTGCGAGTCCAACTGGTCATTCATTGACTTGTGGGCATCCTAACTTAGTTTACTTTTGTTTTTCTATCAAAACTCTCGAACTCAAAAACGAAGGGGTCTATCCTTGAAATGTCTATGATTAAACGTTTCGCTTCTGAGGTATGAACAAAAAAATCAAAGTGGTTAGGAATGTTACATCAATTGAAAGTAAAAAGCTTCTCAACCAAACAAAAGAGTTTTTGGTAGATTACGTCGGTATGTGTACATGTACAAAAATGTGTAAAAATTTACAAAACTAATATCTAGGTACTTGAACTAATCCATACTTTATTTTAAAATAATGTAATCGCATACTTAAGTTTTTGATCTGTCTTTGCGCGTCTTTGCGGAACCACAAATAATTTTGTTTATCTATATAAGATTTGGTTTTAAGGGGTAGACGGCCGGTGAGGCTGTCTATGGAAGTTATCGGGTATTCGATTATAAATACTGATGGCTAGAAAAAAGCCTAAAAATTAATAATTAAAATGATTATTGACAAAAGCTGATGTTATTTACATATCAAAGTAGATAATCAAAATTGTATAAAATCTCTTCTCGATTCATGATTAGTGAGTCAAATATGCTATTGAAGCTTTACGTACTCAAACACATGGCCACTTAGTTCGGAAGTGATATTGTATTACATTTTTATTTTTAAGTTATCTTAAGTACGGTTAAGGTATCGGCTTTTGAGTAGAAAATATTAAAATAATTATTTATTTAAACTAAAAGCAAGATATTTCGAGAAGTATTCATTTCACCTTAAATGATTTCGAAACCATACCGAGAATCTCCAAATATTTGCTTCAAGAATGATCGAAATTTGCGGCTTAGTTTCGACGTGCACCACAAGTAATATTTTACAATTCGGGATTCAATGAAATAATGACAACACGACATAAATGATTTCACAATTAGATGTACTTCAATAAAATCTTTCGTCTTCCCACTTCTTCGAGGCATGTTGAATTTCGGGGCTTCACTTTTGCGGCCAGGGGAGTGTTTGCAACAAACATTATACAGGCTGACATGCTTTGACTCTGATCAAGAATATATATATAGATTGTGGGGTCTCTGATGCTTCCTTCTGGGCGTTGTAAACGTTTTGACAAAATGAATATACCTCCTTTCACGATGATGGGTATAAAAATGCGTGGGTAGAAGTCACGCGGACAGGCGGATACACAGACAGCTTAAACAGATTATGAAAGTGATTCTGAATCGATCGGTATAATAAAATAAGGGTTTTCGGCTATTACATGTATTCGCATAAACTTTGTAACCTCTGTGCTATTATAAGTGGTGTAGTGTATAATTATTTGCTCTACATATACATATTTTTTTTATCCATATGCATACATACATATTCAATCTTGTCTTAATTTCAATTTCCTACTACCAAGGGCAAATAACAACAATTATTAAAATCATTGTGCCGGAAACAAGAAAAGTTAAATAAAAATCTAGTGCATGCTGATATCCTTCAGTTCCCATCCAGTGGTATCTGAGTAACATAAAGTTGAGGTTGCTTTACGTTGGTACGGTGACATACTGGCAAGGTTACAAGGTCGAATAAATTCAAATATTGTTGGCCTCTATACCCATATATATTTGTGTGAAGGATAATATTTCGTAGATATCGACGGAAATCACACATTTAATGATATAAAACTGCATCAAAACTACCCGGTTTTCTAAAAACGAAATCCGTTACAATGTTGAAAGCAAATACGACCTAGTGACGCGTACCTGACGATAAAGGAAAGTTTAACAGTAATTAGGAGGATATTCAAAAGGTAAAGTGATACACAAAAAAATCGAAAAATGAAATCTGGACCTATCTCAAAATGTATTTAAGCAGTGATTTTAAGTCTGTCTGTCCGTCTGATTATGTAAATTTGTGTTTAAGCTACAGAACGCAATTTGATATATTTTGATGAAATTTGGTGCAGTGACGTGCTTTGACCCGCAGACGAACGCAAAGAGAAATGGTTTGTATCGGCCCACTCGCTTCTCATATGAACGCCCTATTTTGAAAAGGCGTTAAGTGAAAAAAATTTGCAATTTTCAAAATTTCTTGACAAAACCTTCTCTGTAATAGTATTTAGACGCCCTACATTGGTATGAAAAATTTGTTTTGGCCGGAGCAACCGTTTGGAAACTCTCCCATATGGCCGTTTCCACGAAAACTGAATCTTTATATAGTAAAGAGAAGTATAATTTTTAATATTTCATGGTGAAGATAAATTCATAATAGTAAATTGATATAGAAATAAACCTTTGTTTGTTTTTTACATAACACCGCATATAAGAATTCTTCCATTACGTCGCTCTTTCATGAAAAATATGCGTTTGCATGGCAATGCTGTGTAACTTTTGGTGTATTACTACCGAAATGAGAAAATAATTGTATTAGGCGAAGGGGGGCGATGTAGGGTGCATTATAGTCAGGGAAGCCGACTATTATGATGTACTTACCGCCAAATCCTATAAGTATACTAGAGTTTTTTTTTTTTTTTTTTTTTTTGCTTTTCTAATATCATATTCGAATCATATATTCAAGATTAGATAAGAGGTTCGATTTAAGTATGTCCGTCTGTCTGTTATGAGTCCTTTGTTGTTGGTGGGAAGCACAATGCTACAAGAATCGAGCATAGAAAAGCATAGATGCATAGATTGGGCGGCCGCCTTTTATCCACAACAGTGCCCTTAATAGGAGAAAGTATTTAGTTACGATGCGATTTTGAAAACCAATGCAAATATTTCTTCAGTGAGCTGAAAGACGAATGAAAAAATTGACACACGTGCGTTTAATCAAATACAAGGCGTGAATGAACCCTTACGTGAGGTTCTAGTGATAAATGCAATGGAAATCGAAGACAAAGTTTTTAGGAAAGTTAGGTTTTGCGGAAAAGGAAGCCTTCTAAGTGCCAATTTGTGACGATGTGATTACTTTTTTTCTATTACTGAACAAAAAATTAATCATATCCATGATAAGATGTAAAGAACTCCAGATAATGCATTTGAGAGAAATTTTTGATTGTGAACTACGATTGAATATCGATTTTATTCAAATCTGATCAGTGGCAGTTTTTGCATAAAACTTTATAGCAAAAACTGATGTATGAGCCGCAAGAACACAAAGAGAGAAAATGTGTGAAGTAAAAGGTACGCCATCAATTTTTTAGGGTTCAAATGGATACATTTCTCTTTTGCTTTTTGCGCGCATCCCGCTAATTGAGTTCTCTTTAAATGATTTAGCAGAAATTACACTCCCTGCAGTAGTTAGGTACGCGAAATTTTCACTTCTAAGCCGATGCAACTTTTTTCCTTCACCCACTTACATATTAAGAGAAAATGGGTGAAAATTTTTCAAGTTACCCTCAACGATTATTTATTTGCATACAGCACAGCGCAGCCTAGCACGGTGTGACGATGTTGATGCAATAAATTGTATAATATATCGTTCATACACATTATTCCCATATAATTAAGTGTACGCATGTGATTTTATTCACAATTTCAGTAACTTGTTGCATATTTAATTATTGTTTTAAAATATTAGAACGAGTTTGTTGCCAACAAAAGCAAATTATTGCGCTCGCCTTTCGAAACGTTGCAAACTTTTCTTTGCATTGTTTGGAGTGATTTTCATTGCAATGGTTTCTTTTGCGTATTCAAGTGACTCGCGAACTGACAAACTGATTGTTGTTAACTTTATTTTGTTTTACTTTACATTTACACATACATACAAATATATATGCACATATCATATACATTATTAGGTGTGTGCGTACATTTCAAAGGTTTGGTTTTATTAGAAATGAACACATACCCTACACCAATTCGCTTAATGCATTTATTCATATAACGATTTTTCAACATAAGGTCTTGTATGGAAAGTGGGCGAAAACGTCTTCCGAACCGAAGCACTTTTGGGCAAAAAAAAATCCGTCAGTTTACAAATTGGACAGACGGTTAGACATGTTTAAATAATAAAGATCGCGTCTATCTCAAGTCCTTCTGAGTGTCGTCTACATTCGCACAAACTTATTATATCCTTTTCCTATCCGGAAGTATATATAAAATAGTACAAAAATTGTAATAAGTATATTATTAAAAAATATTGTCCTTTAATTTGCTACTGATTTTTGGGATTTTGGGGAAGAATAAGTATTTCGCATCAAAAGTACAGTTGGTGTTCTGAGGGCAGAAAGGTGTTCGAAAGGCCATCCTTTTTGTAGATATATAGCCGATGTAAACTGCCGCGCTACTCCTACGGAAAACTTTGTTTGAAAGGGGCAATGCAACGTCCAACGGTACCTATCAACTCTCTGAACTCTAAGCTCTGTTAAGTAAGTGGTCAGAATGGAGACGTAGTAGGATTTGCAAGCCTACTTCATCCAAATTAGGAAATGTACGTTTTTTTTTGCGGACAACTTACGAAACAAACTAAATAAATCGAAATTCGGATTTCCGAAACTATTTTTGCAAAATTTTTAAAATTTGATATGTTGACATAAAACGATTTTAGAAACATTTTTTTAAAAACTTTTTTGATGTTGTATGAAAAGCATTTCCATGTAACTTCACGAGGAATGCGCAAATATCGTTAGAGATTTCGGGCTTAGCGGCGCCAGGATCTCGAATTTGACCATTTTCCCATAGTCGCTACCGAACAGAGCCCTGCAGAGTTCTGTGAAGGCAGTTAGTTCGTAATCGGGTATCTTTTGCAATTTAAATTCAAATTTATTTTCACACCTTTAATTAATACCTGCGTTATTCAGTTTTTTGAAAATCTTCTTAATTATTTTACTCACTGGGGAATATTAATATCAAGCTAGTAACTTACAACTGAACTCAATTGAATAGACATTGAGATGCGTTAGAAGGGTGATGGTTACCGCAAAAACTATAGTTTAAAGATCAAAGTGCCTGGCGAGGATTGTTGTTCAGGTTCATAAGTTATAAAAGCATTAATAGAAAACTGAATACAGTTGAGTCTTGCTCAATTTCTTCTCTTCAAAACTTACCCTCGTCAAAGCGGGAATGAAATTTTGAAAACGTGTACCTTGCGTATGCTTTTATGCCATTGCTCATTGCTCGACACTATTTTCGACATTCCGTCGCAGGTAATGGCATCTAAATCTAACCTCACTATATGCAACATTTTTTCATTGAATTTGATTTTTGCTCTATTATTATCTTTCTATATTTGCAAAAGCATTAAATTGATAGATAGAGAATATCGATGAACTAAATAGAACTTAATGACTTTCGCTTTCCAATTAGATTTAGAATCGTAAATATGATATATTATAAAATGTAGTGCGATTTTGCTGGAAAATGAAGTCAATTTGAATTCTATCATAAAATCAGTAAATTCGCTCGCTTTCAAGCTGCACTCAAGATTTCGAAGTTACTGGATGAAAATTAAGGAAGTCACCTATAAACACAAAATGTATAAAAGAATAATGTCTTTGGTAATTTTAATGATATGCTATACATAACATAGACACGAACACACTTACATCTATCATTGCGTGTATATTAAATTTTATATTTATATTTTTTTTAAAGCGGTTCCGTCTAGAATTCTCCCGCAGCATCGTTAATTCTGTTAATTAATTAATTTAAAAAAAAAGCGGACAACAATGATCTGCCCATGGTTTTAAAACAAAAACATCGAAGGGAAAACAACCATGATATTTAATATTTTTGTATTACTATACATACTTACAGATCCCTACATGAAATGTTTTGTACAACTTTCCAAGCTTGTGTTTTTTTGGCGTTTATTTTTAAGCTGCCAAAAAAAATCGATGTAAAATATATAAAATATATTTATGAAATTGCATAAAATAAGAACGAAACACGAAGCGCGCGGACTTTGTTTTTAATACACTTTTACTTTTTCCTTTAATGTGAACTTCCCCAACGAGTTTGCTTAAATTGCGTCCTTACTTAATCTTATGTGCCTCGACTTTCTTAAGTTATGACAGATTCAAATCTCTGTATCTGCCACATCTTTAGTTTGGGGAACTTTTGTACACAACATGCCTATCGAAATAAATTCAGTGTTTGTTCTTTGATTGGTAGGAAATTAATGTTGGATGGTCGGTCGTAAACAGATTGATTGCTGTATGCTTTAGCTTGCAAAATTAAACTAATATAGAAATAAGAGTTATCTTTATAGGGGATAGAACATTTCAAATTACAATAAATAGAAACAAGTAAAAACATTGCAAGGAATGGCGATGTATTGTTAAATACCTTACGCCATTTCAAACTAAGGCGTTATATGAAAAGAGGTCGCAACATTGATTCCATTCCAACCATTATCAATAGTTTTGCCCATGGCCCAAAATAAGAATGCTGCAACCTATGCGCTGAAGGATGCAAGATGGATAGACAAGCTTTCGATAGACTAAAAACAGGTTCATCTCAAGTTCTTCTGGATGTTGGATATATCCGCGTTAAATGAATAGATTTTTGCAATACAAGTGGTGTAGGGTAAAAAAAAATATCCAGAATTTCTGTTACCTTACAGCTCATGGGTCTATTTACTGGGACGCCACATAAAATATCAACTGAAGTATATACGCTGTATAGAGCGTTTCATAAGAATTGTCCCTCACGTTTTGCTTGCTATTAGAGGAACATTCATCGACATCGCCGAAGGCATTCAAATAAGCCGTTTGAAAAATCTACTTAAATAAATAAATAATGTATTCATCTTAACAACTCTCCTTAATTGCAGTCAATCTGCTTAAATTTATGTTTTCTGCAGTGCTCATATCACTCACTGTTAATGACATCCTCCTTTTTCGTCTTTTCTCCTCTTCTTTTCTTATATTGTTGGTAAAAAATTGCTCGTCTGTCCCAGTTATGTTTAAACAAAGAGTCATACAGTAGCATTGTGTGCGCATACATAAGAAAACTATGAATACAATAAAAGGAAAAATAACGAATTCTTACTAAGATGACAACCTTGTTCATCTTTAGAGCGAATTAATAGTAAAAATGTCAAATGAGAAGTCTCCGAATGAAAATAAATGAAAGAGAAATACAAAAGGTGCAATCACTTGTCCTACTACGAGTACATGTTAGGGCATACTATCGTGTAATACATAAGTATGCCTACTACTACCACTACTACTACTACTACTACTACTACTACTATTACCATACGATATTGCCACTTAATCGAGAAAGGATTGAAATTTGCTTGCTATAAGTTTAAATATGATGCTGATTTATCTTTACGTGCTTTGCTTTTCTAGGCTATGGTCGACGCGAGGTGGTTGAATTCTTATTGAATAGCGGTGCATCTATTCAGGCTTGTGATGAGGGTGGTCTGCATCCGTTACATAATGCTTGCTCGTTTGGTCATGCGGAAGTAGTGCGCTTATTATTAAAAGCTGGAGCCTCGCCCAATACTACAGATAATTGGAATTATACGCCGTTGCATGAGGCTGCTAGTAAGGGCAAGGTGGATGTGTGCATTGCTTTATTGCAACACGGTGCGAATGCTGGTATACGTAATTCGGAGCAAAAGACCCCTTTAGAGCTGGCGGACGATAACACAAGACCCGTTCTGACTGGGGAATACCGTAAAGATGAACTTTTAGAAGCGGCACGTTCAGGTGCGGAGGATCGTCTGTTGGCCTTGCTAACACCACTAAATGTTAATTGCCATGCCAGCGATGGCCGACGTTCGACGCCACTGCATTTGGCTGCTGGATACAATCGCATCAGTATTGTGGAGATTTTATTGGCTCATGGAGCTGATGTACATGCTAAGGACAAGGGCGGTTTAGTACCGTTGCATAATGCTTGCTCTTATGGTCATTTTGAGGTTACAAAACTATTAATTAAAGCGGGAGCTAATGTCAATGCCAACGATTTGTGGGCCTTCACACCTCTCCATGAAGCCGCCTCTAAAAGTCGCGTAGAGGTATGCAGTCTATTGCTGAGCAAAGGTGCCGATCCCACTTTGTTAAATTGCCACAACAAATCGGCCATTGATTCCGCTCCCACCCGAGAATTGAGAGAACGTATCGCATGTAAGTACGAATTAATCACTTAAATTAGTCCATCACCGCTTTTATAAGGAATTCCTGCCCACGCTGGGTTTCGTTATAAAATTGATTTACAAAATGTAGTCAAAAAAAAATACAACACGTTCCCTTCTCATTTCCGAGACTTTCAATCAGATTGACAACTTGATTGATTATGTTTATTGAAAAAAAGATACCTGTCGTGAGTAGTTGCAAGTTTTCCAAAAAAATAAGAATTATTTAGGCCCCCCGTACTTTTTTTAGAAAAGTAGTCTCCTCATACCAAGCTATTTGCAAATATATATTCAAATACCTTTTGGTGTTAGTTCATATGGAAAATTAAGAAATGACAGTAGTTTCCCTCCCCATGTAGATGAATATAAAGGCCACTGCGGTTTGGACGCATGTAGAAAATGCGATATAACTCGTCTCAAGAAATTTCTTTCATCGGAAACTGTAAACTTTGTACATCCGTATTCGGGCGATACACCTTTACATGCCGCTTCGATTTCCATAGATCTTAAGAGGAAACAGGTTAGTTTTATTTACCCTAAATACACCTTAAGTAGAGATTTTACGACAATTTCCAATCTCTTAGATCGCTGATGTACTTATACGCAAGGGTGCGTTACTCAATGAAAAAAATAAAGCCTTTTTGACACCTCTACATCTAGCCGCCGAACACTTGCATTATGATATTATGGATACATTATTGAAAAATGGTGCCAAAGTGAATGCCTTAGATGGTTTGGGACAGACAGCCTTACATAAATGTGCTCGAGATGAACAGGCGGTACGTCTACTATTATCTTATTCCATAGACACTACCATTATTTCGCTGGAAGGTTATACGGCTGCTCAGCTGGCCTCCGACAACGTTCAAAAATTGTTAAAAGATCCGCCTGATACAGAAACCCATCTATTGGAAGCAGCCAAGGCTGGGGATTTGGATACAGTACGGCGTATTGTTTTGGCTAATCCACAAACGGTTAATTGTCGCGACCTGGACGGCCGTCATTCGACCCCTTTGCATTTTGCTGCCGGCTTCAATCGCGTTCAAGTTGTCGAATTCTTATTAGAACAGGGAGCTGAAGTGCACTCAGCCGATAAGGGCGGACTGGTTCCTCTACATAATGCTTGTTCTTATGGTCACTTTGAGGTTACCAAACTTCTAATTAAAGCTGGAGCGAACGTTAACGTTTCCGACTTGTGGAAATTTACGCCCCTACACGAAGCGGCGGCAAAAGGAAAATATGATATTGTGAAGTTGTTGCTTAAGCACGGTGCGGATCCTACGAAGAAAAATCGCGATGGACAGTTACCAGCTGATCTGGTTAAAGAATCGGATCATGATGTAGCCGATTTATTGCGAGGAAATTCTGCTTTATTAGACGCCGCAAAGAAGGGAAATTTGGCCCGTGTGCAACGTTTGGTTACGCCAGAAACTATTAATTGCCGTGATGCTCAAGGTCGGAATTCCACACCGCTGCATTTAGCAGCTGGTTACAACAACTATGAGGTAGCCGAGTACTTGCTGGAAAATGGGGCCGACGTCAATGCTCAGGATAAGGGAGGCCTAATTCCATTGCATAACGCTTCTTCCTACGGCCATTTGGAAATTGCCGCTCTTCTTATCAAACACAAGACTGTTGTGAACGCCACCGATAAGTGGGGTTTCACGCCTTTGCATGAGGCTGCCCAAAAAGGGCGAACTCAACTCTGTTCATTGTTGCTGGCTCATGGAGCTGATCCGTACATGAAAAATCAAGAGGGCCAAACGCCGATAGAATTGGCTACGGCCGATGATGTTAAATGTCTTCTCCAGGATGCCATGGCTACATCTCTGAGCTGTTCAGCTTTAAGTGCTTCCCAGCAATCGTTGCTTAGTAGTAACTGCACCCCTTCGACACCGAATACTCTAAAAGGAGCGGCGACTACAACAGCAAATGGAGCAACTACTTCTACGTTGCCGACTAGTCCAGCCACGGTCTGCACCACAGTCCTTTCACCCACTACTGAAACAGTAACACTGCCGACGGGTGCCTCGATGACGCTTAGCGTACCTATACCACTGCCCCTGTCAACACGCCTAAGTCCTGCTCAAGGAGCCGAGGCGAATTCGGGAGACGTGACCAATGAGGAGGTCGCCGATCCTGAATCTATTACTAATATAGCTAGCTTTTTGTGCACTCTTCAACTAGAGCATTTAATTGATCTTTTCGAAAGGGAACAAATTACTTTAGAAATTTTGGCAGAAATGGGTCATGAAGATCTCAAACAGGTTGGAGTTTCAGCTTATGGATTCCGTCATAAGATTTTAAAAGGTGTAGCGCAATTAAGAGCCACAACAGGTAGTCTGATTGCGGATATTATAAATGGACAAATAATATATTATTAATCCTTACAATATTCACCAGGCATTGGTAACAGTACTAATCCTGGTACACTACTGGTTGATCTCTTATCAGACGATAAAGAATTTCTGGCGGTGGAGGAAGAGATGCAAGCTACCATCCGAGAACACCGCGATAATGGCCAAGCTGGAGGTTATTTTACACGCTACAACATTATAAGGGTAACGTATTAAGAGATCGTTGATATTTAAGTGTCAGTAATAGAAATTCTTTCCGAACAGGTGCAAAAAGTGCAAAATCGTAAACTCTGGGAGCGTTATACACATCGCCGTCAAGAAGTATCCGAAGAGAATAACTTGCAAGCCAATGAACGCATGCTCTTTCATGGAAGTCCCTTTATCAATGCCATTGTTCAGAAGGGATTCGATGAACGTCATGCTTATATTGGCGGTATGTTCGGTGCGGGCATCTACTTTGCTGAACACAGCTCTAAAAGTAACCAGTATGTCTACGGTATTGGGGGAGGTATAGGTTGTCCATCGCACAAAGACAAATCGTGTTATATGTGTCCAAGGTTTGTAAGAGATAATATCAAACTGCTCCATATTGATATTGTGTTTTTTAGGCAATTGTTATTATGTCGGGTAGCCTTAGGCAAATCGTTTTTACAATATAGTGCCATGAAAATGGCTCACGCTCCACCCGGCCATCATTCTGTTATTGGACGACCGTCAGCGGGTGGCTTACATTTTGCCGAATATGTTGTATATAGAGGAGAACAGGTAAAGATAGAGATAGAGAAAAAAAAAAACTGAAATGATCCAAATGAGTAAGAGTGCTATTAATATAAGATGAGATAAGAAAAAAAAAAAAAAAAAATTGTCATTTACATGAAACGCGTCAAATATCAAATATTGTGATTTTTTGTAGGCATACCCTGAATACCTAATTACTTATAAAATTGTTAAACCAGAAGATAACGGAAGTGGAAATGAGGAAACGAGATGATGGATGCCATCGGTTGGATCTACACCTACGACATCACCGGCTCAACAGCAACAACAGCAATCGCAGCACCAAGTTCAACTGAGCCAAATTCAACCGAATGCCGGTAACGCCACCCAAACGACATTGGCGACAGCGTTGGGAGCCAGTCTTAGCCATCATTCTGTACAGCAGCATACAAAATTGCACCAACAGCATTCTTTACCTTTACAATTGCAATATCAGGTTACTACCACACAGCCTTCACCTGCCGGGATGTTTATAAGTCAAACAGCAGGCATTATTAGCAGTACAGCTACGCTGGGGGGTCATGTGACTGGCGGAGGAGTTACCAATTTTTTTAATACAAATGGGGGTGACATTTCACCAATATCGTCGACGGGTTCATTTTCTTCCGTAGACACTAATCAAACGCTTCTCAATTCTATAGTCAATCAACAGCAATTACATTCCCAGAAGTCGTACATCAGTACGGCTGCACGATCAGCATCATCTGCCAAGCCTGTGCCCGGTCGCTCTTACCGCACAAAATATAGTCAATTTATGATTATTACTCCTGCCGTTTCAATAGATCGCGATTTTGAACGTGCAACCTCTAACGATAATTCCACCGATAATGGGGCTTTCAATGCGTCTGACGATGATCCTTATCTTTCACACAATGGCAACATCTACCGAATGTCACTATTGCAAAGCAGCATTGATAGTGGAAATAGCAGCGATAGCGGTGGTTCATTTCGCTCTAATTACAATCCGTATTTGCACACAAGTCGTCAGCATTTATTACCCAAATCGGCTCCTGCGTTTTGTACTTTCTCGCCGTCGTCTTGGGGTTGGTGTACACTAATTTGCGCGGCAATGCGTTGTTTCGGTGCAAGTGGAAGTCATGGCGGCGGTATTGGCGGGTCGCATGCAAATCATTACAGCACATCTTTTGTACGGCGACCTTATCAGAGATCCCGAAGTTCTGGGCCGCATACTGCCACCTCGAAACCACCGCATCGTCGTTTACGCTCCTATTCGACGTCGTCGTTTACTCCAGAAACTGCATTCGAACACTTTTCGGCGCCTTTTAAAAATCGTAAGACGCGTGATCATTTAAATAATATCACGTACGAATTGTGACGCTCGTTAAGTGAAAAGTGCAAAAGCCTTAAAAAGACTCACATGAGTGATTTCCGCACACTACTCTTATTAATGTACTGTGTTATCGTGTATATAACACCGCTACACTTTCTAAGAACAAATGTATTCGTGTAAAATATATAATAAGTAACTAATTATATTCTCTTATTTCTCTACGCTGTAAAGGAAACAAAAAAACAACAAAAAATTACAAAAGAAAAGAACGAAAATCAAAACGTTTTTCTTTATTATCTTAACTGTGTTAAATTGTTTGCAAGTGTTTGCAAATGTCTAAAAAAAAAAAAAAAAAAAAAAAAAAAAAGAAACTTTTATCTCTCTTTCTAACTATTCCTCTCTTATATAGGTACACCCAAAAAAATGAGATATTAAAATAAGCCTCAGGGATGGTAAAAAAAAAAAAAAAAATTAGAAAACAACAACAAATATCAAATCAAATTTATTTCGAATTTTTTTGTTGGCATCTACTTCATATCCTTGGAACGGTGGATGTGAATGTGACTTGTGATCCTTATTTCGTTGATCTGATTATACGATTATATGTTTCAAAAGCTCTCCCTCTCTCTCTCTCTCTCTCTCTCTCTCTTCCTATTTATCTATCTATCTCTTTTTCTCTGAGGTGTAAGTATTGTAAAATGCAATCTAATTGAATTAATCTATAACATGTAATAACATGAAAGCATATTAATTTCTGTAAATAAGTATAGATATACCGGTTCATAGATATGTATATTTCCATTTTTAACGTTTTAAAAGCGAAAAGCAAAAAGCGATTATATATGAAATAAGAATACATTTAAATTTAAATTTAAAGAAAACAAACATAAAAACCAAAAAAAAATATATTTTAATCTTTCGTCGTTGTTTACGCAATTTACGCTAAATCAATTTATTCGTTGTAAAATGCAATATAGTGATAACATCGAGCTTACTATATACGTACTCGATTCGAGCCGAATATTTGAATACCCATCACCTGCAATTTTGTAGGAGAGCTCTTCATGAGTCAGTTGCTCAGTTTTGACCGCAAAAGCTAATAAAAATGCACGTCCTTTTGTCCAAACATTTTCATTTAATAATTCTTTTTTTACACGAGTTAAAGTTACCCTCCATTATTTTGTGCTTTTCAACAAAAGTGTTCAGTACTTGTATATGTAGTAGAATGATGGACTTACATGACTTATAATGGATTACCTATATACTTTCAATACGATCGTTTTTATTCGCATTAGCAATTATGCGGAATACTCTTTGTAGTGTTTAAATGGCTGGCAGCTTTCAAAGCGGTTAGTCAAAGAGATATGCTTAGTTTAGGCCGATAAAGAAAGGGCTTCTGAAGTGACTTGTTATAGAATAAAGCCACAAACCATAATGAGAAAGTAGATTAAAGATAACATTAATTATCAGGAATTGGATTTAGGTTAGATTTAACAGCCAAAAATGGGTTATTTATACGCCTATGTATTGGTGCCTTAAATATTCATGTGAAAGCTACCGAGAAAACTATCGAGAAACTATTTAGAAGAGTAGTTTCTGTTTTTATCTCGAGTATTCTTACGCTACTGGCCAGGTCGTTGATATGTATCTTTAGGCGTCGATCAAGTGAGGCAAAATTGCATTACCTATTAATCGGACTTTATTTCTGTACATAAACACTTTTAAAAAATATTTTTTGCTACCTTATTGAACAAATACACCAAGATAAACATGTAAATAAATTTCTAATGGAAGATATTCCGGCAAGAAGGTTTCATTATTAAAACAAACTTACTAATCGCAAATTAAATGTAATAAATAAAAAAAGGAGAAAAAAAGGAAAAAGAAACCAATTTGCAAAAGAAATCATTTATTCGTATCACTTTGAGTCAATATTAAGTCTCAGTCATCTTCAGTTTCTATTTAATTTAACAACTTGGTGATTGTGATGATAAAGTCCACTCATTTTGGTTTTGAACATTTTTAAAATCAAACTTCTTTGAAAAGGGGAATGTTGTAGAAAGACATACAATTTTAGCTTTAGTAGGGTTCCTAGAGTGAGACTGCACTTAGATTTCAATGGTGTACACCTAGAGCGTTTTTCAAAATTATATTCTTAATATTTCATATAGAAATGTTTTTCAAAATAATTTCCTTTAAATTCGAACTATTCACGATGGCAGAAATTTTCGAAAACCAAATGTTTAATATACGGTATTCGAAAAATCATTTCGACTTTTTTTTTTTTTTTTTGGTCAAAAGAAAAGACGATTTTCGGTATAGTTTTTCTTTTATGATATAAATGATTTCTGTATCGATGTCCTATGTAGTTTAAATCGATCGAAAGCCATGAATTTGAACTCTCCGTGGTCTCACGATTTATTATTCGAAAGTTTGCATCGGTTAATCACTTGATTTTGACGTTATCGGCTTCAGTTTCGTAAATTAATTTTGGCGCTGACCTTTTCTCGGCACATATCAAATAATTTTCTTCTTCCTTGAGTGGCGTTTTTGCCTTCTCGGAAGTAAGAAAGTAAATTTCTATTGTCCGGCATCAAATAAATTTTTTTCAAATGGCTTTCGTTTTATCAGGTATCAAAATGTATAATGACAATGCGGCTTTAGTTTTAACTTGGCTGTGAAAAAATACAATTAAATCTAAATAACAAGCAAACCTAAAAATCCAATAGTTTTCCAGTTTGTTTTGGATGCAAAACCATTCCAAAATCTTACTGCTCCTATTACTCAAAAGGCAGGAAAAAGTTTTTTCAAAATGATTTCTTAAAAATTTGAAATTTTTATTAAACGCTAAACTATTGATGTAATTTTTTCAAAAATTTATACTTAAAACTTTCCCTTCAATAAACCTTTTTGCATTCTGTTCTTTTAAATTATGAGTAGAAACGTGATATTTATATAGACATTGAAAAATTGTGAGAGTAGGTGCTGGGTAGAAAATATGGAATTTTTAATTCTCGTCGTTTTTATTAGTGTTAAAATATTAAATACGTTATATTATATTCTTAATTATTAAAAAAAAAAATCGTATAATTATATATAATCTTAAACTACTAATATAACAAATATATATATATATATATATATATATATATATATATACGAGAAGCAAATAATAAAACATGAAAAGTGAGAATCGAAACTTAAACGATGTACTTGATTTTGAAGCATCTTAAAATAGAAATGAAACATCAAAAATTTGAAAATTGTATTCAAACTGAAAATGTATTATATATATGAATTAAAATTAAAAATGGAACCACAACAGAATGAAAAAAATAAAATATTTCAAAAAACGGAAATTATAAAATTGTTGTAATATTTCCAAGTTGCGGACGCGATTGTTTCGAAATAATTCTTGCTCATCTTGAGCGTACGCACTATATATTATATAACAAGGCATGTAGCATTAAGGTAGGTATGTGATAACAACAACAAATTGTACAGAGTATACTTTAAAGCGAATGTAATCATCTCGTAGTCTTACCTGTTTAGAGCAATTTTAACAGTATATGCAATACTATAAGACAAATCCATTGTCAATGACGACCGTCTTTGAGTCAAAGCACATCAGTGCACCAATTTTTATCAAAATATTTCAAAAATTGTGACCAAATTTACGTGGACAGACATCTGACGGACAGACAGGTTTCAGAAAATGATTATGATGGGATCTACTTTTAGTTACTTTTCCAATTATCCGGCACAACAACTTCTTTCATGAAAACTCATACAGATCTTGCCAATTTATGGTGGCCATAATCATCCTTTTGTTTATTTGAAAAAAAAAAAAAAAAAAAAAATTTTTCTTTGAATGGACTCTCCCTTTTTTCTTTTCTGTTCGAAATATATTCTTTGCGTTATATTCAAGTTCAATTTACATATGTTTCGTATTGTAACGTAAAGTGCCCGTTTTGTTTTACGTTTTCCTTCAACTCCTTTCGAAATAAAGTGAGGTTTAGTAGAGAGTAGATTGTATTTGCAATTCTTCGGAGATCCATTTACAAATTATGTACAGGAACTCATATTTACATCCTTTGCGAACTCCTTCTTCTAGTCCTGCCCGTTCGAATGTTCGCGACTCAATATTTTTATTTATTTTATGGGGCATCCGAATCAATTGTGTCCTCACGCCGTGACGTAGAGAATTCCGCGAGGGTTTTGTAATTTTTTTACATCTGGATATAAAGCCTCTTCCAGAGTGACCTTAGATAACTAACCTCGTTGTGAAATTTTTATGTTAATCACTCTTTCCGCTAATTGTTCTCTTAACTGTTGTTAATCTCTTCGCTATCGTCGTTAGCTGCGTGAATCAAGTAAAGCTAAACTCATCTATGTTGTTTTGGCTTTACCGTTTTCTGGAATTTGGTTTCTTAGAAAATCGGCCAACTTTTATGCAAACTCATTTCATCAAATCTTGGATTTGCGTAACGCTATAGTTAATCAGTGACCTTTGGCTGTTTACATCTTTTAATTTCTAATAAAAATATACCGAAAAAAAAAGATTTGCGTTTTAATTCAATTTTATTTACTAATCATCCAATTTTTATTTATTTAATTTTTTTTAAAAGAATAAAAGCTTCAAAAATTAATTCTGATTTATCCAAAATCGACGTCATCGTTACGTCAGTGAACTTTTTTTCAACAGAGAGAACCGGGTCTCTCAAGTCAAGTAGCAAAAGCTGTGATTTAAATGAGTACGTAAATTACATTCGGGTATGGCTGACTATTGTATATCCTACACCGCCTCGCCTAAAATATTTATTCGCTCGTTTTGGTAATAGTAGTCCAACAAGTACGCGCTATTTTCACGCAAAGCCATAATTTTTAATTGTTATGATAAGAGTTTGTGTTTCGTGACAGAACGTACATATATGTTGGAGTCCATAAAAAATAGACCTATGTGATCCACATTCCCTAGCGTTAATTTTTTTGCTGAAGCGCTATCATGAACTAATTTTCATCATAAAATATTAAAATGACGCCATTTTCCGAAGGACTTGCTACTTATGGGATGTCTTATATGAAGTGAGGCCAAGAAATGGACCCATGTGCTTAATAGAAAGCGGGTATTCAAACACTTTGCAAACAGAATGGTCGGGCGGTGTAACATCATCCTTCTCCGGTGGTAGGTAAAAACCGAAATGAGTTTTAATACATATAATAAACACATACCTTTATACATCGTTTTCTACAGTCGAGGATATAAGTGAGCGAAGTTCTTAATATTATGGAAAAGACGGGTTGACACTAGGATAATCGACTGCGTCAGTTTGAACCATGCGAAGTTTTTAAACTCCAAAGAATTTCTTATAATGCATGCAATCTTTCAGATGTTTTCGATATAACTAAAAAAAACAGGTCCAAATTTCTGTACTCGATTTATTTTCCTCTGTTTCTATAATTATCGAGATGCCGAGATGGATGTCGTCTATTTATTTCTACCAGAGTGAAGTAATTTGCCTGCAAACCACTCATCCTTCAGCAGACTCGGGCTCTTTGAGAAAAAGGAAAGGAAATTAAAACATAAGGGGCATGGTCCACTATTAAATACCATGTTACAGTCCATGTGACGACTGTAATGAGCACAAACTCAGATGGTACAGTATTCTCAGTTTATGGGTCAACGCAGATTGTAGCCCTTTAAATTACATGGACTGACGACCATGTCTAGAGGCATACATTGGAGGGTCTCTTAAGATGCCCTCTAAGCACTGCAAACGGTAAAATGGTAAAATGAATGCCATCTTCAACTTTTTGCCGTGTGGCATATATAAAAGATTCTTTTAGGTTAATAATAGAAATGTTTGCAAAGCAAGTAAAACAAACCAAACCTTCACTTTGTTTGTTTGTCTTTTGCAAATCGTTGAAATAATACAAAGCAGGACCATTTCCTTCCTTCCTTCCATTCTCTTTTCCTTCATAAACCCCAAACGGCTATAATTAACAAGTTTATATATATATGAAAGAAACATTTGATTCGAAACGATTGAGATCGATAGGCATAAAATTATTTTAATTTCAGTAAGAGACTTGTTAGTCCAAGCTAGAAATGTTAATATTTTGGCGGAATATAGCTTCAAAAGCAAGTTGTCGTAGGCAAGGGAATCGCCGAACAGCTAAACCGGCAAAGCATTCATCCAAATACTCCAAACAAATTGTTAACGTCATAGTGCTTATTAAGAATTATGTTCGTCATGTCGTCGAATGGCGTTTTATTTGAGTGATCAATGCTTTCAAAAAGTCCACTATCCCTTCGATGCAAATTCGTGATGAAGATTACGTTTCTTTTTCAAGGCAAGCAAGCGAAAAAACGCCATATTCTACTACGTTAGATCGCTTATGTTCGCACAACATCGCGAAATTGATGAGAAAAGTGTGCACGCTTATGTCCTTCGCTGTATGTATGTACTTAAACTTGTCTCTGTGTAAATTATCTGTGGAAGAAAGAGGAAGAGAGAGAGAGAGAGAGAGAGATGGAGTTGTTAATGTGTATAATTATTGTTGCTGCTGCCGCTTTTATCCTTAAGAAAGATAATCAACACAATTTTTACATGCATGCATGCGCATGTGTGTACTTTTACATATTTTTGCGGTTGCTTCAATCATAACAAATGCCATAATTATAGAGCTCATCCACATTGTTAAAATTAACGTGGAACCTTGGAATAAAAAGTTTTTTTTCTTCCCCCCAAAAAAAAAAAAAATTAAATACATAATTTATCTTTAATATCGCAACCGATTAAGTAAGTAATGAAAAAGGTTGACATTCGCTTTTCCCAAATCGTGTGTGCTTTGAAACCTCGACAATGATTCTTTTACGTTACAAACTTGAAGCTGGATTCGATCTTTAAAACCGATTGATTAATTTTGCCACAAGCCATAGAATTTCAATTCGTTTAAGCCCTGTGAACACTGTTATCGACGAGATTGGAAATACTTCTTCGATAATTCCTTATACAAGGCCTGCTTTTAAGAATAACGTCCGGATGCCGTCGAGTATTTAATGGTGGGCAATGGCTCGCTATAGTGTTTCAATTTTTTGCAAATATCGGTTCAGAAACATTTTCCTGTCTTTCTCATGTCCATCCACATGGTGTTGGCTTCAACCTACACACACACGTTGCAATTTTTGCGATATATTGATGAAATTTAGTACACCGACTGTTTCGACCCATTGAAAATGGCTTGGATCGGATCACTTTTTCGACGATTGTCGCAGTGGCCCGCCCACTGGCACTATAATTACCTTTAAAATCCATATCACAAACTATGTTTAATATTAATGCTGATAAAGTCACAATTTGCAGGCCGGGACTAGTGCAATTTGAATTAAATTAAAATGTCACAAATAAGCACCAGGCACGGTCTACATACTGGATGACCAACGAAAAAAAAAAAAGCCAGTGCAAAGAAATATCTCACAAATATCTCTCCCTTGGATGACGAAAGATTTCCTAAAAAATGCGGAAAAAAAAACAAAAAGGACATGACATTAATAACTGGTGCATCTATCATAATATTTATAATTATTAAATTATTTATCGTATTCAGGACTTATACTTTATGCATATGTCGCCAGATCCATTTGCAGAATATGCAAAACAGTATAAGTCTGTTGTTGACTATTTTAATAGCATGAAATGAATGAATAAAAAATTGGATAACATAGTAGCCGCCTTTTAATGACTAACGCCCGTTGAAGCATATGTTCGCCCTAATTTTATGTTTATAAATGTGTATGTATGCTGCGCCCTTGTGTGTGTTATTAAATAATAATTAAATTGTGTTTATTACAAGATGGATGAGCTTTAAAGAAATCTGCCTCATGTCATATGCTCTGCCATCGATTTGCCTACTTTTACTTAACGATTTATGATAAACACAAAGCGCGAATACATTTATTATCATTCATTATTATCTTTCAAAATGATTTTTATGCAAATTCATAGATATAGGCATACTTACTTACACATAAGCGGGAGACGGGAGGGGAAATAATTAATTAATGTTTATGTGCCTTCGATACGAAAGGCATTTGAGTTGAAGCGCTTCACGCACACAAAATACATAAATAATTACAAGTAAGACAGACTTGCCACTGAAAACACACTATATATAATAGCCGTTTATTTTGAAAATGGTATAAGTCACTTTTTCGCAATTTATTCACTGTAGCTGAACGACTATCTCGATTAGTTTGTTCTTCTCGGCACGGGTCTCTTCTAATCCGGTTATTCATTCGCTTCGAAGAATTTTATGATATTATATGAAGAATTTTATATATATTATATATAGAAAATTCATGATATTATATACAAAAACATGCAAGATTTATGTGATGGATGCGTAGAAGTTATAACAGATCCAGAGATTTGACGTCTTGATGAAAAGAAGTTATGGAAATTTCGTATGAAGAAAATTTACATTGTAATTACATACAAGTTTTTGTAATTATTTGTTTATTAATGATAAACGAATTTACGCACACATTCACATTAGCAGCATAAATTAAATATTAAAAACAACTCTGTGGCCGGTATTTGGAAGAGTAGATTCTATTTTCCCATGAATTGCGGACGCCTTCAAAAAGAGTCCCTGCTACTATATCGGGTTCCCGTTACAAAAAAAAAATTAATCCATGTTTTTTTTTTTAGAGCAATGTACAGTTCTTCGATTTTATATAAGAGCAAATGGTTTTTACAGAGACTTCAAATTATTGAGAAAAATTCGGACGATATGCTGCAGCAAATAATTATATATATATACTTTTGGAAAATGGGATAAGAATCATTGATAGAAGGAGGCAGAAATATATATGTTTTAAGAGAATACTCAAGTGTTCGCGAATACCTGACTAAAAAGGAAAGCATTACGGACAAGAAATTGTTTAAAGACACATTCCGAAGCAATTCACGATAGTTCAAAGAAGCAATAGAAGCAATAAAAATTCCCATGAAAGCATAAAACAAATATTAAGTTTCCTCTCTTCTCTTTGAACTCGTTGAACAAATTCTTACTGCAGTCATTATTTGATCCCAATAAATAATTTAAAAATTAAATAATAACAAAAATCAAATTCATATTTATATTAAAAGTTGACAATGACTTAGACCATAAATCCGTTTTCAAACCAAATTAAAGCGTTTGCTCAATATACGTTTCTGGCGAGATAGGAAAGATTCTGATTCAAATTTTGAATAACTAAAATTACTAAAACCGACTATCAGGACATCAGGCATTATTTGATTTTTCGAGTGAAATTTCCGATTCCGAAGTTTACAGTCTTCTGCCATTAATCGTACGCTCAATTAAGGAAACAACAACTCGAAATCATGACTCATTGAAAACTTCCATTCTTCGGTTATTTTCTGTTCTAATACTTTTTTTTCTCTGAAAAGATGAAAAACTGCAACTTTTACTGAAACATTCCCGAATCACGCTAGAGCCATATTTCTTCAACGTGTAAACGTGTAAAACTCCCAATAATTTTGAATAAATATTTAATCTAGAATATTTTATTTTATAAATTCTGCTGACAGTTTGTTGTAATCAGTTAAAACTAAAAAAAAAAAAAAAAAAAAAAAATTGATTAAATGAATGAAAGATTTGAATGATCGGTGTACGTATATATGCACAAAGGAATGATAAAGGGTATTGTTGTTGTATTTTTTCATTATCACGAAAATGAAAATGAAATTAAAAATATTTCAATCGCTGGGAAAACCATTGAAATCTTCGGATTTTTCCAAGAGTGATTTAACAATTTCTGAAGTAAATTTCTCCACTAATTCTAAGGCCGCATTCTGAGGCAAATCCTGCAAAGATGATGATACAAAATTCCCAAATGCGGCATATCTTAATTCTCGCGAACTCAGACAAGGCTCTTTTTGATGCGTTATTTGCGATGACTCTGCAGCGGAAAAGGCGGGTTGCGTGCATTGATATGAACGTTTCTTATTAGGTTTTTCGATTACGGCCGGATCAGGGGAACGTAAAGCATCCAAACGCCGTATAGTAATGGTGGGTTGATAGCTTGTATTAATGGAATTTTGCTCTTGCTGGATGCGCGCGGTGGAATGTATTTGTTGAGCTTCGGAGCTTTATATTAAAACAAAAAAAATAAATAAATAATAAAAGAATTTTTTTCTTCCTTTTTTTTTTTAAATAATACAAAATTTCCTTACAGTATAGTTGAAGGTTCAAAGGCAATGGTGTCATCTCTATCATTACTTTCTCTAAAATTAATGAAAAATGAAAAAAAAAATAAATAAATAAAAAAACTTATTAATTGTTTGGAAAAAAAATATATATATATATAATAGTTACGTGTCTGCGTCAGAGTCCTGATCATCCGAATCATCTTCTTCCATTTTGACACTCAACAAGGTATTGGGATACGTTTGCCCAAGCTGGACAAAGCTGCCGCTACATCCCGAAGAGCTGGCATCTGTTTGCTGACGCAGCTGCAAATGTCGCAGCTGCTGATGTCGCTGTTGTAGGTCTTGTTTTTGCTGTTGCTGCTGTTGCTGCTGCTGCTGCTGCTGAGATTGAAGTGGCACCATTTTTTTATAAGATCTACGAGCCCGTATATGATCAGATAAAAAGTGTAAATGCTCATATAAAGGCCAAAGCGATTCTATCGGTTTATTAGGATTCTCTTCGCGTAATTGCTCCAAACGACGTTTCTCCAAATTGTAACGGTTGCGCAATTGTAGCATGCGGTCTTTCAATATGGAAACTAAACAATAACATTTGAAATTAAAATGAAAAATAACATCTAAACAACATGAATATATATATATATATACATATATATATGTGCGTGTAAATTGAAACCCTTCATACATTTCCTACTTGAGTTTAATTGTTCTTTATTTACGTATTTTTTTCCTTTATCCAATATATATATGATGAAGTTATGAATTGAAGCTTTTACGCATCAAAACAATACCATGTGCTTGGTTTTTTAAATATAACTATTATATACAATGCAAAACAAATCTCGCCTCGCCTCGTCTCGTCTCGTCTCGCCTTGCCTTACCTTATCTCCCCTCCCTTCCTTTGTCTATTCGCACAATTCATCGTGTGTAGTAAATATTTACTTCTATTGCTTTTTTTAATTTAGATCCGACTATGTCAACCTTTACCCTCAAAAAATTACTTTAAACTTTTTTAGTTTTTATTGTCTTTATATAAAAATTTGTAAGAGCGAGAGCAAAAACTTTTCATTTTCGAAGTAGGAAGGATAGCCGCAATCGCGGTGGTAGTCGATGAATGAGAAGAGCTTTTTTACAAATAACTGAGCAATCGAGAGAAATCTATTTTTTATTAATTAATTATGATTAACAAATTATTAAAATGCAAAATATTAAAAGAGAAGTTAATACAATTGATTTATGTATGCATATGTCCGAAAATTTGCCCGCAAACATTTCAATTCAATAATAAAATTAGAAGAGTTTTTTTTTTTTTTAAATGTAATTTTTTTCCTGAATCATATGAATGTGATATAGCACATCGGGCAAGTGGCCTCCACCTCTTTGACACAGACCATATGATCCAATTCTGATCATCGCAACGGACACCTCATCCAATTTGGGCAGAAAGAAATGGGTTATCATAGCACCGAGCAGTCAATGCTTGATCAGTGTCATTTCCGTAGACCTATGGTCAAATTATATAGTCCGAAATTGCGTGTCGCTCCATTTTTACTAACCCTAAGCTGTCAGCTGTCAAAGTCTCTTTTTTTTTTTCTTTACAAATCTTGCCTAGATTTTGCGACACCCTATGGGCGAATGTATAAAATTCGAATAAATTTTAAATTATTTTCACACGAAAAGCTTTTGTAATCTAAAATTATTTTTATGAATTTTTAAGTTGTTGTAAATTTTGGGTTAAAATGCAAAGAAAAGCTTTATTTTCCTCAACATTAACGGACATATGTCTTTTCCGCTTAACATTGATTCGAACTCAAAATAAGTTCCTATTTAAGTTTTCCTTTCCTTGTCTTCTTTTAATTTCTTTCGCTTACCATCGAAACCCAATTTGTTTGATATTTCTTGCCATTGATGAGCTGTGTAAATCTTATCTTTGAATTTTGGACAATTGCGATCATAAAATGCTGGACGACTGCGAAACTCGTTAATTAAACTCAAGTCAAATTCTCCCATTGCTGGTAGACTTCGAGGTCGGCCGCGACGAGGCGTGTAGTCGTTAAAATGGGCCAGGTTGACAAACTGTGAAGAATTAATAAATAAACTATTAAAAAACTACTCATAAATTTCATTTAAATAATTGTATATATATATATATATATATATATATATATATGGGTATATAAAATTTTAATTTATTTGCGATAAACGTGAAAATGATAAATTAAAAAGAGCTTTTTCTATTTTTTATAAATTATAAACAAAAACTGCGAGTTTGTACATATTTGTTTATTTCTTTTTAAGAAATTTCCTGCCCAGAAGCACATGTTAATCCAGAGCGCATGGCTTACTAAACTAAAATCTCTTTCTTTACTTCGTTCGCTCGCTCGCTCGCTCGCGCTCCCTCTCTTTTCTCTCTCTCTCTCTCTCTCTCTCGCTAGCTCTGATGTGAGTGTCAAAGTCTTTGTCTCGTTTGTTTCAGTGTTTTTTCGTCATCGTATATACATTGTACATACATAAAAAAAAAAAAAAAGCTAACAATAACCATATTTTATATTAAAAAAGCCATTCATATACATTTATATTTATATGTATATAAATGTTTATATATACATAAATATATGCAGATACTCGCCTATAAGCAAATATATACATATATATATATATTTATAAAGCTTTTTTAAGATTTTTGCGGTTGTTGTTAATTCATTATTATTTAAATAAATGAAATTAAAAATTTTAAGTATACAAAAAGCAAAAAAAGAAAGAAAAGTAATTGCAGAGAAAAAAAAAAAAAACAGAAAAAAAACAAAAAAAAAAAAACTAAGCAAGCAAAGCGAATTATTTGAAAGCCTTAAATTTAAAAATAATGTTTATCTTCATTTTGCTGAACTTTGCTAATATTTATATATTCATATATAATAGGAAAAATGGCTTTTTTTCGTTTTCCTTCTTTTCTTATTTATTTATTTATTTTTTTTTTTTTTATAATTTACTCATTTAATTCACCTTTGAAATTATATAGAATTTTTCTTGCTTACCTTTCACAAAAATTATGTAACCTTTCTTTTTTTTCGAATAATATTGAATTTATTTTTCACAAACTAATTTTCTTTCTTTTTTATATATATATATATATATATATACATATATATGCATATACATATATATACGCATATATATATATACATAAATTTAAAGAAATTTTCCAATAAATTTTTTACTCTTTGTAAACGCTAATAATAATCGGCAACGTCTGCACACGACAACATTTACTACTAAAGTAAACTCTTAAAAACAAAATGTATTTTTTTTTTTTATTTTATTTTTCTTTTCTTCTTTACGTTTGTTTTTTCTTCGTCGTTTCTCGTCTCTAAAATAAACGCGCGAGTTTAAGTGTATGTGTGCGTTTAAAACTCTTTCAACATACCTACATATATATATGTATATATATGCGTAAACATGACGCTCGTTATACTTACATTTTAATTTAATAAAAAATTCATTTTGTTTTTATACAATATTTAGGTATATATGCGTAAATATATAAAAACACAAAAAGGAGAATTATATTTAAGAAAGCAAAGTAATATATAAAAGTAAAAAAGACAACGAAAAAATATTTTTTTTTTCTTCTTTCGTAAAACAAAAAGCATCTAATCATCGCAGCAATCCAGGCAAACAAAGCGGCTAAGTATCAAAAAAAAAAAAAAAAAACAACACAAATGAGCGGAAGAAAGTGCAATACAAGACGAAACAAAACGGGCGAGAGAGAGAGATAGAGAAAGAGAGAGAGAGAAACCGGTGGCAAAGAGTATCTAGAATATATCCTCTCTCTTTCTCTCTCTCTCTCTCTGTCTGTCTCTGTATTCCTCGCTCAACTAAGGTTTTGCTTTACGTCAATATTTCAGGGAGCGAGTGTGCGTTTGTGTATGCGTTTGGGAACTGATTAAAGAGCAATTACAAAAATTACATTAAAAGAAAACGAAAAAAAAAAAAAAAAAAATAAATAAATAAATTTTTTTTATTTCTGTTCTTTTTTTATTTTTCCCTTTTTTTTTTTTTTTTTTTTAAGTATTTTTGAAAATCAAGCCTTATTTTGTTTTGACATGAAAAATTCTTGATGACTCAATCGAATTTTTATTATTTATTTTTAATTTTTACTTTTCTAAATTCATTTTTCTTTTTTTGTTTTCTTTTCATCACATTTGCAAATATATTCGTTCTGTCGTTAAAAAAGTTTTCTTCTCTTTTTGTTTTTTTTATTTGTTTTTCATCTCATCAAATTTTATTATTTCATATTGAGCAAGTATGTACACTGGCACACATGCATATGCTCGCATATCTTCAGACAATATTAAATTTATCTTGTACGAAGTTAAACGAGAAGTAAATTAGAAAGTGAAAATAATAATAATAATAATAATAATAATAATGAAAAAATAATCATAATTTTATCAAGTGAAACGATCTATTTACATTGTATTAATCATATATAGTTTCATATATCATTGCTTCTTTTATCTATTGTTGACGGAAGCTTAACTTTCGAATTAATTTTGTGGACGAGAGAGAACTTACCACATATCAGAAACTTCTAGATTGCATTGCTGCATGCCATCGAATCTAGTATACCCTACTCTCTCATTTTATACGGTAGATATGTTTCTTAGAAAACGTGTTAAAAAAATACATGCGACATATTGTACATATGGATATATGGTTTTTTTGAAAAAATCATGTAAAATGAAGAAACCCCCCAAAAAAACCGTACAAAAAAGTAATAATGAAATCCATATTACATCATTATATATTTATTGGTTATCATCAAAAAAAAAAAAAATTAATTAAACATTAATGTGATCATCAACTTTCAACAACGAAATGCTGCGGTCACTATGGAAGTACAGTTAGATAGGTGCATACCCTATAGGATAAACAAAAAACGCCCCTATGGACAAAAACCGACCAACTACTGATCACAGTATTTACCGAATTGTATTTTCTTCCTGTAAGACTCTACCAAGTGTGGAAGTAAAGTAAACCTTTCTTTTAAACACAAAATTCGTATAGAATTTGTGTATTTTCTCTAATTAGCGCACATCATAAAAAAGACCGCGTAAAAGAAGTTGGGCGCATTCGAATCTTGCACGGCAAGTCTTGCGAGGTCATTTCGTACATAATGCGTTTGTGTGTAAGTGCTCTTATAAAACTTTTTTAAAATTAGTTTTCGAAAACAGTTCTCCGATAAGATGTCGACAAATTTTGCACCAAATCTTTCACCAGAACTTTATTTTTAAGTTTTCATATATTTCATGCTTAGCATAGGTTATCAGATTGGTGGACTAAGCAATAAACGGTTCGAAATTACAATATATATTACAATCTTTGATATTTCGTTCACAAAATGTGGATAATAACGTGAGACTTTCCTCGTTTCGTGTTGTTCTAATATTTTTTCCATAAGAAAACTTTTGAACTCATCTCTAACGATCTAAAGAATATTTAGATATCCTAAGTTAAGAAATTAAAAAATTACTTTGATTATAGGCGAGAAGGTTATATTAAATCAGTCAGCTGATTTTTCAACTTAAATCCTTGATGGTAGGCAAAAGGGGACGAATATTAATCCTATTATCCGCATAAGTAGCCGAGTAGACAAGAATCGCGATTATCAAATTCGTATTCGCGGGTGCAAATGTCGAATGCGTTAGAGTTTACTTTGGTCGTAGGTATATATAGTCAGAGCTCGGTCGGCAAAGGTATAACACTTACTGATTGGCCATACACACAAAGGCTGCACCACCTCCCCATTTTCCTCTCTTTCATCTCAACTTCCTTCTGACCATGACAGTATCACTCCTATAGGAGATATCTCCTGAGGCTTTGGACTCAATTATAATCAAGATCTCATCGTAAGTATAGTCTCTGCTAAATTCACTAGAGGGGTACAGTACTTGTTGTCAACGCTCTGACAAGACAAATATGTGTATCTCGCGTAGAAAATGAAAAAGGAGCGAATGAAAAACGGGTGTAGAATCTCGAATTGAATCTTGCCGCGGACGCATAAGAATCACAGCCTTGGACCAAATACGCCCGAAAGTAGATACCCTTCAAAGAGAAAAACGGGGGCAAAAAAAAATGAAACTCAGAAAGAAAATGGAGAAACGATTTAGGCTCATAAAGCAAGATCGGTCTACAGAAAAACTAATGTGTTCAGAAATACCTATATAGATCAAAATAACTAAAGTTTGATCGCAAAAAGAAGAGAAGAAAATAAATATGAAAAAGACAGGTATGCAACTCTTCTTGCATTTCTTGGCTTAAGTTAAGCAAATCAATAGAATTTATATTTACGGGTATTTTTTAATTCAAGTTGTGCTTAGAAAATTTATATATATATATATATATATATATAATATATAATATATAATTATATATATTTAGTGTATATATGTATATGGATTCGTATATATCTATGGATGGGAGCGTGTGAAAGCAAAAAAAAACTTAAAGTAACAACCGACCGCACTGCACTGCTATGGTAAAAAAAAAATAAAAAAGTAATATAATTTTATTACAATAATAACGTTACACTGCAAACAAATATATAGAGAAAGAAGAGAATAAGAAAATTGTCGGCGTCTCTCGTCGACGTGAGAAATGAAACGATTCTTATAAAGGAAGTAATTAAGATTTCGAGGATTAATTAATTAATAGTATTTATTACTCTCTTCTTTTTTTTTTTTTTTTTAGTGTACAATATTTATGTAATGTCAAGGGCCAGAGCGGCTAATAATGAATCACATAAGTTATTAGGAAAAATGCAAAACAATAAGTAAAACTTAAAGGGGCGGTTAAACTATTATAATCATTTCGCAAGCAATCGACTGAGAAAATCAAAATCGAAAAGGTTCGCATTTTATTATACATACATATATGACATATTATTAATATAAATATGTACAATATAATAATAGAATAATAGAATTTTTTTGTTTTCTTGCAACAATTAGTAAATATAAAATCAAATCATTTTCTCGCTTTAAACATAATTTTTTTTATTTTTTTTTTCTTATATC